TTCTTGGATCCTTGAAAATATAAGACTTTTGGCAACATGGCTGGTCAAGTTGATATGGACAGGTTTACCTTTTGGTACAAGCAAATAGAAATTCTTGAAAGATAGCATCAAAATATTTCAATGACATAGCTAAAGCTGAGAAATGTGAAGAAAATTTTCATTTTCCAGATACAAAACAGGAACTCAAACTGCAAACAGTAGCTGATGTCTGGGGGCCTAAGAAGCTTTGATATCTAGTTATAAGCTCTCAGAATTGGAGGCTGAACAGTGTGGCAATGGCTGAGAGTAGGAGGCATAAGGGAACTAAATGGTAATAGAAAAAAAATACAATAAAGATTAAATCAAAAAAGAAAAAAGAAGAATTGGAGGCTGATAGTTAAAACTCATGCAGGTGCAAGAAATGGGACCTCAAGCTATCACAAGACAGGGTTCAGGATAAAGTTTGTATTCTTAAAGTGATGCTTGGCAAGTAAAATAGGGACAAGAAAGCTTTAGTCCCTCCCAGAAGGTATTGCAAGTGGTAATCAAGGCTCCTGTGAACATCGAAACCACAGTAATGCGACCAAGCTCTCTGATTGACTCTATATGCACATGAGGGGATCTCAAGGTGAGAAACTGACTATTGCAACGTAATGAAAGTCCTTGGAATTATCAGAAACACAAGTAAAAATCATAACACACAGAAATAACTCCGATACAGAAAAACTTAGGAAAGCATTAACCATGAGAAGAGGTTAAATAAACCTCTAAGAAATCACACATTGACTGTATGGGATGTCTGTAGGGGAAGATGTTATAAAATACACAAGAAAATAATCCACCATAAGTAGCACAGTAGACATAGGAAAAGGGAGTGTAACCTTCAAGACCTTAGATAATTGAAGATTCTGAAAGAGACTATAAATAAATTAGGTTTCAAAGAGGTTCCTGAATTTGTAGCTCAAAGTTTTTCATCAATTTTGTCAAAGTGCCTACCACGGTCTCTCCATTTATAGCTTCTGCCCTGTTCTGTCTTCCTGGGACTCCAGCTTACATGAGTCTTAGACCTTTTCACTGTGCTCCATAGGTGTCTAATGCTCTTGTCTATATCTCTTATTTTTTTTTCCTCTTACTTCAATGTGCATATTTTCTATTTCCAACGTGCTCTTCCTCTCTTCAGTCTGTCTGACCCGTTAAATCTAATATTCTATTCTGTCTAATCATTTACTGAATTCTGAATTTCAGTATTTTGAGTTTTTTAGTTCTAGATGAAATTTATTTTCTCATCTATTATTTCAAACATATGAATCTAAACATAGTTATTCTAAAGATAGTTTTAACGCCTATATATGCATCACCTTGGAATCTACTTCTTTTTTTTTTCCCTTCACCTTGCTTTTAGTCATTTGATCCTTTATGTTCTGGCATACCCGGTACTTTTTAAAAAATTGGATGGCAGACGTTATGCATGGAAAACTTGAGATGCTTGAAGTGATTTTATCTTCCACCTGAAATGGGCCTTCCATCCTGCCTACAAAAGTCAATTTCCAATGCTCAAAAAAATGCCATTGTTACCTTCTGAGAGAGATCTGTCTGGTGCTCGCTGCTTTGTCATAGCGGGTGGTCGAACCTGTCCTTTAATTTCTCAACTAGCCACCCTCTTTTGGACCTTGCGCTCTACGAGTGCCTTCTCGCTTCTCTGGCTGGTCCTTTCTGGTCCCTCGTGTTTGCTGTTGCTTCTTATTCAATTTACAAAGGTTGGCGTTTCCCATCACCCAGGTCACCTATGTCTTCGCTCTCAATACTTAACTTCCTGTGACCCAGGAAAGCACCTACAGACCCATGGCATTAGAAACCACTTTAGGCCATAATCACAATCTAAATATTTTCAAATATGTAATTTACTAGGAATTTATACAGTTATGAGATATGAGGTTTAGATGTTTTTAAATTTGAGATGACCATAGCCCAACACCATTTTTTAAGCTGTACATTTTTCCCCAGCTGATTTAAAGTGCCACCTTTTCAGATACTCTATTTCCTTATGTATTTGGGTCTATTTCTGGGCTCACTTTTCCTCTCACTAATGGAACTTTCACTCACTTTTTCATGCACTAGTACTGCAGTCTCAATATGAACTTGCTGTCAGTGGTAATCAAATCCAAGGCCACCCCACCAGGTTACGGCAATATGCTAGGGAACTGAAATATCCGAGCAGCCAATCATTGACTGTATCCTGGGTTCCCTGCCATTAGAAAGTAAGTTGCCCCCGGCTGGGCTCCAAGACTGACACTGTGAACAACGCATTAACATGCCAGTTGTTCTAGGCTTCTTGCACTTCCTGCAGCAGGGGTGTCCAACCTGCAGCCTGCGGGCCGCATGCAGCCCAGGATGGCTACGAATGCGGCCCAACACATATTCGTAAATTTACTTAAAACATTATGAGATATTTTTGTGATTACATGTCACAATATATTTAATGTGTGGCCCAAGACAACTCTTCTTCTTGCATTGTGGCCCAGAGATGCTAAAGGGTTGGACACCAAAAATTCTTATATATTAGTTACAGCTGAAGCCATCAGAGCAATGATTTTGTTTAATCCCTGAGTTCCCTGTTAGCCTCTAAGAACTGTCTTCCCAATACACCGGCCAGACAGGACTGTTAAAATGAAGTTCAGGGGAATTAAAACTCTTGCTTCAGCTATTTCCCTCATCGGAACAGTCATCTCTTCTTGTTCTTCTGGGGTTCTATATTGCTTAGTACCTCGAAGGGCTTGAGCAATTCCAGAGGTGCATATTTAACATGGCCAAGATTTAACTCACTTAAAATCCATCTCAACTGTGTATTCAGGTACAGCTGATGGGACCACAGAATAATCACTCCAGTCATGCCCTCCCATTCATAACTATTTCTACCTTGGTTCCCTCTACCACAGTATCTCCAGCATCACTTTTGGACCATTTGGAACACCAAAACACTCCCTGATGGACGTTACTGCATATCGCATGCCTCCACGTCATAATCCTCAGAGGTTTTGCCTGCTGCTTCTTGGCTAACTCGCTCAAATCCTTGCATAGCTCTTCAGGCCCAGGGGTAACTACTTCTTGTGTTATGAGCCCTGGGCCTTGTTCCTGTATGCTCTGTCTACACTTTTGTAAATAGTCCTTTCATTGCCCCGCATTCAGTGTACCATCTTTTCCCTCTGTGACCCAATTCTTGTAAAAACAGGAAATTATAAGCCTTATATTCTTTAATACTGAAAAAGGCAATATAAAAACCTACATTCTTTGATTTAGCTCTAGCTAATAAAGCACAATGTTAAAACCAGAGCCTGCATGCTATAATTAGCAGTTACCAAAGAAGAACATGGGAGGATAAAAGATTTGTTAATTCTAGTGTGTGAAACATGGCAGAGCAAGTTGAAAGCATGAAGCTGGGAATGTCCGTGAGACACTTCTGTGATATGCTAAGACTATAACACTCAACTTTTGTTGGGGAGAGGCCTGTTTTATATCAACCTCTATTCTGTTTGCCTTTTGATGCCTTAGAACTTTTTTTAAACTTTTAGAAATAATAATCAACTCTTTTTACATTTATTGTTTAGAAATATGACAGCTAATATATACAACTCTGATATATGCAAAATTTGAATGTAAATATTTTTAATATACTTCCGATTATGAACCAAAACTTACAGGCCCTTAAATTTGTATAAAAATGATTTTACTGTATATATTGAGACATGTTTTCCCAGCTAAGGAGGATCCTTCTTACCTCAGTTTTGGTGATAAAACTGAGTCTCAAAGAAATATCCTGCACATGAGCTTTTAAGTAAGACCAAGCAAAGTAGGAAAAGCCTGAAATGGCAGAGTGACACCAACAAGAAGGTAGCAAACTTCAGGAACATGGGAGGCTAAAATGATGAAGGAGTTGTGTCTTGAAATACTAAAAATTTGAGTATCTATTAAAAAAAAGTTAAAATTCTTATGGAAGAGTTGCCATGGACTTTATCCATCTCCAGAAATCTGGAGTTAGGGGTACACTTAGTATCCTGAGGGGAAAGTTTATTGCTTAGAGAGGAAAGGAGGAAGGAAAGGAGGGAGGGAGGGACAGAAAGAGGGAGAAAAAAATACTTCAGCTAAGTAGAACCACCAAAATTTACACATCCAATAATGGAACATACTGGAAGTAGAAATATAGTCAAATGAAACTTAGGTAACTCTATGATGTTCAACTCACTGTAGTTTTTGAGGGACTCTTGAGACATATACCAAAACTTAATTTTGAGTTAGAGAGGACAGTGAAACAATTATACAACCCCTTTGCTGTTCTGTCAAAGAGAACACAATGCTAAGGTAACATTCTAGACCAGGGCAGTGTTTCAATAACAGTAACATTAAAAATGATATTTATTGAGGACTTATATTACGCTCCCAACCCTGTACTAAGTGTATTACGTGGATTATGTTTTTTGAACCTTTGAAGAACATAATGCATTATCCCCATTTCAAAGAGAAAAAAAGGAGATTTGAAAACATTAAATAACTTAGCCCATGTCATGCAACGAATGCCCAGTGGAACCTTGATTCCAACATAAGTAACAGCTCTTGAACTTGCCCTCCTGCATTTGCTGCAACATTTCTTGGTGAGAAATGATAGGTAAATACACGCCCATGCACACGTACACACACACACACACACGCCAAATCTTTAACAAATCAGGAGATTTCAATATCTGGGAAAATAGCTGTTTATTAAGAAGATACAGAAATAACGTTATATGTGGTTGTCACATTCAGTATGAGATTGTTGGTCTAAAAATAGATGCATCTGGGCCTGGGTTAAAATCATTTGACAAGTGTGTTTTCATTTGCTATTTCCTAACACTGAACACCAACTCTGAATGCCAAATCAGAAGAGTTGGCAGCTAATAGTTCATTCCCCAGTCACTGGCTGGCTCCAACACATTTTATATGACTTGTGAGGACAGCCATATTGTGACAAAGATTATAGCAAGGATTCAGCAGCAAGGGATGGCACAGCACATGGGGCGGGGGCAGGTGGAGATGACGCAGGTGGGGCGATAGCAGTTGGTGAGGCAGGAGACCTGGCCACAGGCTGGGCGGAGGCAGCAGGAAGGACAGCAGCAGGGCGGGCAGTAGCCGAAGCCACAGCCGCTGGAGCCACAACAAGGGGCGGCAGCAGTAGAGATGCAGCAGGAGGGGCGGCAGCAGAACTGGGCCACAGCAGCTGGGGCGGCAGCAGCTAGAGATGCAGCAGGAGGGGCGGCAGCAGCCGAAACCACAGCCGCTGGAGCCACAGCAGCTGGGGCGGCAGCAGCTAGAGATGCAGCAGGAGGGGCGGCAGCAGCCGAAACCACAGCAGCTGGAGCCACAGCAGCTGGGGCGGCAGCAGGTGGTCCTGCAGCAGGTGGTCTGACAGCAGCTGGGGCAGCAGCAGGTCTCCAGGCCGCAGCCCTGGCCAGAGCAGAGGGAGCCACAACAGGAGCTGACCATGGTGTCGGGGGGTGGAGGTTCTGGGTGGGTTTCCAGGAGAGAGAGGTTCTTGAGTTTGGGACTCTCCTTGTCCTAAGGCCCCTTAAATACTGCGGGACAGGGCGAGTTGTCAGCACATTTCCTTGTTTTCATTTACCTAATATTTAAATAATGATCAGATAATCATGTTTATCGATTTGAGGGTTTAAACTTGTTGGAAACGATGTTTCCTTTTCCGGATATGATAAATCCTGTCTGCTCTGCTTTCCTCTGACTCATACCTGCCAGCGTCTTCTGGACCACACTCTCCCCCTCTTCCTCCCGCTAGCACTTGGAACTGCATTTTTTACTCTCCCTGTCTGTATCCCCTATGAGATGGAATTCAGGCAGACACATTTCTGGTTGTTCATGTCTTCCAGTGACTAATGTGGAAGAAATCCCACCTGCATAGTGCGGGATCTTGCGTGGGATTAGAGAAAAATGACTCACGAGGGTCATTTTGGAGCAGTGAGGAAGGGGACCTCTCCACGTGTGTGTGATGTTGGTGACTTCCACACCACCTGAACGGGCTTCCTTAGCTGTTTCCGGCTTGGGATCGTGTTCTGTATCCTAACCCTGGCAGACAGTTTACCTATATGGTTCCTGTTACTATACCACCCCATAGTTTATTAAGTTATTACTTTGCTGTCATAATTTGTCATCATGTTTCTCCATCTGGTCTCAGATTTTGGAAGACATAGCCTCATTTTTTATTCTTTATCTCACTCTTAATTAAAAATATTTTAATGGAGCAAAGAATTAAAAAGTTGAATAATCAGAATGTGCCTCTCCTCAGAACTTATCTCCAGAGCTGGGAAATCTATAGCACAAGGTTTTTTGGATTAATTTGAAGTGTGAATGGATTTTGGTCAATTTAACCTTATTTAATTACTATTTCTGTTTATTTAGTGATAGTCCAACTTGAGTGTGCATCAGAATCACCCAAAGGGCTTGCTAAAAATAGTGGGACTGCTGCCAGGGTTTTTTTTTTAAATTTAATTTTAATTTATTTTTTCAAATACATTTGTCTCTGCCTACCCCCCACCACTTTCCCTTGCCCCCTCCTTCCTTCCCTCCCTCAGCTCTTCCCCTTTGGTTTTGTCCATGAGTCCTTGCTATATGTTCCTTGACTTTCCCCTTCCCTTCCTTTTCCCCGCCCTCCTCCCTCCTTCCCTCTTGTCTCTGTTGATTTCTTTTCCTTTCAGGGTTTCTGACTACAGGGTGAAGCTGGAGGTTCTGCTCCTCTAACAAGTACCCGGATGATGACGATGCTAAGTGTCCAAGGACCACACTTGGAGACTGACTATTTTATTCTGTTCATTCAGACTCTGAAGGAGTGCCAGTGTATGTTCCTGCCTCCTTCATAAGGCATATTTGTTAAGAGGATAATCTGAGAGACACAGCTTCCTAGTCACTGGGGTTGCAGATGTGATTTAGGGTTTCCTCCCAGGGAATTGAGAGTTTATTGGGAAGATCTCTCTCTATCTCGCACTCTCTCTCCCCCTTACTCTTCCCTCCCCCTCCTCTCTCTCTCTTTTAATATTTTTCATCATAGATGAATTTTGGTCTAGAATTTCAAACAAAAGACGTAGTATAATTTCTTTTCTGTCTGGCACCTTCAACCTGGCATATGTTTGTGAGAATCATTAGTGGTGATGCATGAATCATGAGCACATTCAGAACATTCTAATAAAGTACCAGGGATTAAATTTAACTACCACCAATCAATTTTATTGTAGGGTGACTAACTGTCCCTGTGTGCTCAGGACTGAAGTGGTTCTCAGGACTCAGGACTCTCAGAGTGAAAATCAAGAAAGTCCCAGGCAAACAGAGGCAAGTTGGTCACCCTCCGATGACATCCTTAAATGTCTTAATTAGAGCCATTTACAACCAAGCCCCTTGCAATATTTCTATTACAACAACTTGTTCAGCAAAAACTTGACTTGCATGCTTTTATCTAATAAGTTTTCATTTGCAGAACTAGAGAATATGAGACATGTAAACAATTACCTTGTGAAGCAACATGGTGTCCCAAGGGGAGAGATTTTTTCACTTGATTTGCTGTCTACGGGATGCTGAGAAAAAAAAAAAAAACCCAACATAATAGAAAAAGGTTTTTGGTGACAAGGGGAAAGTTTTCTATATAAATTCGGGGAGACTGAGAACATATTTCTACAACAGCTGCGACGGCAGAAGTATATTCTCATGACAGAGAAGCATGTAGAGAATGACATAGCCCCTCGACCAGAGGTTCACAAAGTTGGCTGTGTGTTGGAATCACAGGGGAAGTGATAAAAAATATTGATGCCCGGCACTTGCCCCAAAATACCCCGACTTAATTGGTCTGGTATATGGCCTGGGAGTCAGGATTTTTTAAACTCCTAGGTAATCTAAGTGAGCAGCCACATTTGAGACTCACTTCTTTCAACTGCCTGTATTACATGTATTTGTATAATATTAAGTTAGGAACAGAAGTAACTAAAGTATTAAAATATAATGAGTAACACCTAAAGTTGTAGAGAAAATGACCATAAATTTGAAACACTGAACTTTGAGCAATTTCAGACTGAAACACGGATAATTCTCTTTTCTCTTTTAGATCATTCTCTAGAGATCATTCCCATCTCTAAAAAAAGGGAATAATGGGGCATGAACCACAATGGAAAATTATAACAGATGGCACACTGGATGGTTTTTAAAAACCAAAATCAAAATTAGGAGAAACATCACTCTGTGTACTCCTTGCTAAAATTTTTACCTGTAGTCTGGTGAAGTAGAATTGATAATTAACGCATGGGCCCCCCCGCCATACAGGACATACGTATTGTCTAGCTAAACGGTACCTCTTTTACTACATAGAGTAGATAGAGCATAATATTATTCATTTGGATACTGTTTTTCCTTTTTTTTTTTTTTTTAGAAGACATGGTTTATTGTTTTACCTCTACATCATAAATAATCTCTTTGCAAAATTTTTTGTTCACAAATTCAAATGTAACTACTTTGAAACACCTGACATAAACCTTTCTTTTTTTTTTATTTTTTAATTAATTTATTTACTTTTTAAATACATTTGTCTCTGCCTTCCCCCCACCTCTTTCCCTTGCCCCCTCCCACCTTCCCTCCCTCAGCTCTTCCCCTTTGGTTTTGTCCATAAGTCCTTGCTATATGTTCCTTGACTTTCCCCTTCCCTTCCCTTTCCCTGCCCCCCCCCCCTTCCCTCTTGTCTCTGTTGATTTCTTTTCCTTTCAGTGTTGCTGGTCATATTTTCCTTGCTTCTTTGCATTGTTGGTTAGGTTCCGCTTATAGGTGAGATCATATGGTATTTGTCTTTCGCCCCCTGGCTTATTTCGCTTAGCATGATGCTCTCCAGTTCCATCCATGCTGTCGCAAAGTTTAGTACTTCTTTTTTCTTTCTGCTGCGTAGTATTCCATTGTGTATACGTACCATAATTTTTTGATCCAGTCATCTACTAATGGGCATTTAGGTTGCTTCCAACACTTGGCTATTGTAAATTGTGCTGCTATGAACATTGGGGTGCATAGGTTCTTTTGTATTGGCGTTTTGGTTTTTCCTTTTTAAACCAGTTTCTTTGTCGTCTTTTTAGGATTCTATATGAAAGGGCCTCAGTTAGGTGAACATCACGGCTATATGAATGCCGTGGGCCCAACTGGCGTTTGCGGCCACTGCTGAGGAGCCTGCTTGTGTCTCCCAGGGAAACCAGACACATCATGTGAACATGTGCTTTAAAGAATGGTATGAAAAAATGGCTCTTGTTATCAGGTTTAACCTATATGACATCAGTGATCCACTAAGTTAATTATAGTGACCTAGTGATAATTCGATATTAACTAGTGTATGTGTAATTAGAACAATATTCAAATGATATAAGTGCCCATATACTGCTGAATTTAATCTTTCTTTTAAAATATTAAATAGAGTAAGCATTTCAGTTCACCCTAATTTTTAAAAATCTCTTATTATAAAAATCATACAGTAGACCCCCCATATTAGTGAGGGGTATGTTCCAAGACCCCCCAGAGTATCCCTGAAACTGTGGGTAGTAAGGAACGCTATGTGTACTACCTTTTTCCCTAAACATACTTACATTTGATAAAGTTTAATTTATAAATTAGGCACAGTAAGAGATAAATAAACATAACTAATGATAAACTAGAACAATTATAAGACTATACTATAATAAAAATTATGTGGATGTGGTCTCTCAGCAGACTAACACATATTTACTTTTTTCTTCATCACAATTCACAGATAGAAGATCATTCTTACTGTAGACCTTAGCAACTTCAGCGTATAATTTTTTTTCTTTTTTATCAAGAACTTTCACTTGAAACACTTTACAGCTTCTCTTTGGCATATCTGAATTGCCAGCATCATTACCCTTGAGCTTTGGGAGCATTATTAAGTAAATACAGGTGACGTGAACACAGGCACTGCGCTACCAAGACAGTTGATCTGATAACCGAGGCAGCTACTAAGTGACTGACGGGTGGGTAGTGGATACGCTGTGGACATGCGGGACAAAGGGATGATTCACAGCCCAGGTGGGATGGAGCAGGATAGAGCGAGGTTTCATCATGCTACTCAGAATGGCAAGCAGTTACAACTTATGAGTTGTTTATTTCTGGAATTTTCCATTTACTATTTTTAGACCATGGTTGACTGTGGCTAATGAAAACGCTATAAAGCAAAACCTCCGACTTGAGTGGGGACTACTGTATACTGAAAAGTGTATAAAATATACCTGCATAATATAACATAAATAGTTATGAAGCAAATATATATATATCCCAACACCCAAATCAAGAAACAGAACGTTGCTGTCACCAAGAGGGCCCTAGAGGTGTCTCCCCTGGACCACATCTCTCTTCTCTTGCCCTCCAGGCAACCACTCTACTGATTTTTAAAGTAAACTTTTCATTGATTTGTTTAACAGTTTTATTACCTAGGTATGCATTGTAAACAATATCATTTAGTTCTACATATTTTTGAATTCTATATAAGTGGAATCTTAATATATGTATTATGTGTTTTTATTTTTTCACTCAATATTATGTACAAGTTGTAGCCTCTAAGGTGGCCCACTGATTTCTACCTCTTGGTGTTTATGATCTTACGTATTTCCCTCCCTGTGAGTAATTTGCTTCTAGTAAACATCACGTGATTAAGTTACGAAACACTGTGACTGGCTTCTCGCTAGGCAACTTTCTCTCTCCCTCACTGGCTTTGATGAAGTGAGCAGCTGTGTGGGAGAGTTGCATGCGCTTGTGGCAAAGCACCGAGAATAGTCTCCCTTTGACAGCAGCAAGGGACTGAGGCCCTGACTCTCATGGCCCTGAAGGAATTGAACCCTGTCAACAATCACATGAGCGAAGCTGGGATTGGATTCTTCCTCAGTCAAGACTGTAGATGAGACGCCGGTGCCAGCTAACACCTTGATTTCAGCGTTGTGAAAAGAGGATGAAACAGAGAGGCCAGCTGAGCTGTATCTGGATTCTTGATCCTCAATGTAAGTGATTTAATGAGCATATTACTCCTATAGACAGCTGGGGTTCAATCTCACCAAGGACCTCTGGAGACTGGAAAACATGACTCCATGGGAAGAAAAAGAAGCTATGGCATTGGGCAACAATTCTAACCCCTTGGTTGAACAATGCTCCTAGACGTATTGACTCCAACTTCTGGCCAGCTAAGAGTTGGTGTCTTAATCCAGAGGAAGTCCTCAGGCAGCGACTTACAGGTGCCTGCTGGGAGAAACACTCTTTCTATAATAAAATTAGGATGATGTGGGAATAGTTAGAAATCCTGACATCACCTGCTATACTCTGCTCTCTGCAGAGAACAACAGAACAATTGACAGGTAAGGATGAGGATTCAAGGAGGAAAGACAATCAGACACGAGGCTCTTGTATTTGTATGCCTGGAAAATTAAGATTTATTTAAGATTGAGGGTTGGATGCATATGAGACAATCAGGCAGAGAAGAAACGTGTCGATTCAGATTACATTGGATGAAGAATTTCACAGAAAAGTCAAACTGTCTTTTCATTTAGTAGAGAAATAGTAACATGGTAGGAGGGAGACATTATATTTAGAAGCTAGAATGAGTTTAAAAATCAGTTGGCAGTGAGGTTTTACAATTGGCTTGTCATGACTCATTTCAGTTGGATGGCATTAAGAAGATTGGAGGATGACAACCAGGTGGGTGCAGGTCACCAGATCAGCAGCAGGAGCCACTAGAATAGACTGGGCGGCAGCAGGGGGTCTGGCAGCAGGTGGGGCGGCAGCAGCTAGAGATGCAGCAGGTGGGCCTGCAGCAGCTGGAGCCACAGCAGCTGGAACCACAGCAGGAGGGGCGGCAGCAGCTGGAAATGCAGCAAGTGGGGCGGCAGCAGGGGGTCTGGCAGCAGGTGGGGCGGCAGCAGCTAGAGATGCAGCAGGTGGGCCTGCAGCAGCTGGAGCCACAGCAGCTGGAACCACAGCAGGAGGGGCGGCAGCAGCTGGAAATGCAGCAAGTGGGTCGGCAGCAGGGGGTCTGGCAGCAGGTGGGGCGGCAGCAGCTAGAGATGCAGCAGGTGGGCCTGCAGCAGCTGGAACCACAGCAAGAGGGGCGACAACAACTGGACACACAGCAGCTGGGGCGGCAGCAGGTGGTCCTGCAAAAGGTGGTCTGGCAGCAGGTGGGGCGGCAGCAGGTCTCCTGGCCGCAGCCCTGGTCTGAGCAGACGGATCCACTGCAGGAGTTGACCATGGTGTCCGAGGGTGGAGGTTCTGGGTGAGTTTGCAGGAAGGTGGGTTTGGAACGTTTGGAAGGTGTGGAAGTCTGCCCGCCCCAGCTCCCCTTTTATACCCTGCTAAGGGGCTGCTGTCATCAGACTCAGTGCCCTTTCCTAGTCATTGTTTATCCTAATTAAAAGGTGATTATCAAGTTTCTTTTCCTGATTAAACTTTTCAAGAACAATGGAAAATTGTTTACTTTTTCTGATGGGTTAGGATTTATCACTTGAGCTCTTCCTGAATCACCTCTTCCGTGCCTCTCTTCCTTCAGCTTCCTCAAAGGAAATGGTCACCTGTTCCCTTCCTTTCAACATTGTATGTCTTTGTCTCACATTGCACGGTACAACGTGTCTTCCCTTGGGTGATAAAGATTCTAATAAGGTCAATTTCAATTAGATGGCTCTTGCATCGTGAGTCAGGTGGGCAGAGAGGGTTGAATGCGAAACACAGCATCACTAACATGAGGAAAGGCTCATAGGACTTTTCCTTTGGTGACCAATGGTGACCAATTTTCTAGACTTTCTGGTGGGAAACAAATAACTTGTCCTGAGGAGGAAAAGTAAGTCATGAAATTCTACTGCTCCTTCTTTTCACACAGCTTTATTGAGGTGCGCTTAATATACAAAAGATTTCATACATCTAATGTATACAGTTTGATGAGTTTGGACCCATGCATGCGCCATAGTACTATTTCCATAATTCAGGTATAAACCTATTCATCACCACTAAAAGGCTCTTGTGTCCCCTAGTTTTGTGCATTTGCTAAGAACACTTAGCGCAAGATCTACTCTCTCAACAAGTTTTTAAGGTGCATCACACAGTTATTGTTAAAATTATAGACACAGTGCTGTAGAGAGATGTCTAAAATCTATTCACCTTGTGTGTCTTTAACTTTATACCCATTGAACAACTACCCATTTCCTCCTTCCCCCAGTTTCCAAACCCACCACTTTATTTTCTGCTCCAATGAATTTGACTTGAAATGGTGCCTTGGTGCTTGTCGTTAATTCATCCTGGATCCCGTGAGGAGCGCCGAAACCGATGAGCCCTAACGATGAAGCATTTTCTCTTGTGGGGCCGCATGGTGATTCATAAAACTCCTAGCATGTGCCAGGATTAGCGAGCAAGCAACGAGTAAGAGAAAGTTTTTTTTCCTCAAAATACATCGAGAACATGGTTTGCCAAGTTCTGAAGCCGGCCAGTACTGAGGTATTTTAAATATCTCACACAAGTGAAATCTTACAGCACTTGTGCATCTGTGACTGATTTCACGTGGCATAACATCTTCCAGATCCATTAAAGATGCCACAAATGGAAAAATTTATTTAAGGCTGAATATTATGCTCTTTTCTTAATGTATCACTGCTGGCATTTACAGTTGAATGGCGATACTGAGTGGCCGTAAGTGCGACTTATACTGAACTTAACATTGTGTGAGGTCCTGTGCCTTTTCATTACGAACTGCTTCAGTCTCTCCTATGGATGTGCGGTGGGGGCTACAGAGCAGCAGTTCTCCGGGTCTGCCTCTCCCTGCGCCCGGAGGGCCGTGGCCCCCGTGAGGGATGGTGCGCCAGGGCAGGGCTGCTGAGAGGGGAGACAGCGTTCGGGGGTGTGGGTGGTTCTGATCAATTCTCCCAGGTCCTTCCAATGTATTCACAGCTCCCCAAGCTCATGTGCCCTGCGCACTGATAACTTCTCAGGTAGATCTCAGAGAGGCTCTGACGTTCCATCCTGTGGGATTTAGTGTCTTGGACAAGGACGTGTAAAGCTCTTGATCCATGATGCTATCATTCAGCGTAGTCAGTCTCCCCCAACGTGACAGCCCCCAAAATGTTTTCCCCATGTGTATGGTGTCCAATTTTCTAGATTTTCCCGTGCGAAACAAATAACTTGTCCTGCGGAGGAAAAACGAGCCCTGAAATTCTGATGCTCCTTCTTTCCCCTCAGCTGTATTGGGGTACGCTTCATATACAAAAGATTGCACATGTCTATTGCGTACAATTTGATGAGTTTGGACTCATGCATGCACCGTAGTACTCTTTCCACAATTAAGGTAGAAACCTATTCATCATCACTACAGGGTCTTGTGTCCCCAAGATTGAGTGTGTGTTCAGAACACTTAGGTTGAGATCTACTCTCTGAACAAAATTTTTAGTAGCATCATACTGTTGTTATTGGTAAAAAGTATAGGCACAGTGTTGCAGAGCCAAAGTCTAAAATCTGTTCACCTTGTGTGTCTTTAGCCTTACACCCGTTGACCAACGGCTACCCATTTCCTCCTTCCCCCAGATCCTAACGCCCACCACTTTATCCTCTGCTTTGATGAATTTGACTGTGAGTGGTACCTGGGTGCTTGTCCTTACTCACTGTGAACCTCCTAAGGAGCGCCCACCGATGAGCCCTAACGATGAAGCATTTTCTCTCACGGGGCGGCGTCGTGATTCATAAGCCCTAACACGGGTGACGAGTCCTGAGAAAGCACCAAGGGAGAGACATTTTACCTCCTCTACATGCGTCGAGCACGTGGTATGACGAGTCTGCAGCCGGCCAGTACCGCGGTATGACAGGGTTTTAAGTGCTCAATAAGTGGGATCATGGAGCGTTTCTGCTTCTGTGACGGATTTCCCGTGGCATAACGACTTCCTGGTCCACTTCAGTTTGACAAATGAAAGAATTTTTTGAGGCTGAATAATAATGACTTTTGTTGACGTATCAGTGCTGGCATTTACAGTTCAATGGCGATACTGAGTGGCAGTAAGTGTGCCTTACATTGAACTGAACATTGAGTGAGGTCCTGTGTCTTTTCATTACGAACTGCTTCAGTCTCTCCTATGGATGTGCGGTGGGGGCTACAGAGCAGCAGTTCTCCGGGTCTGCCTCTCCCTGCGCCCGGAGGGCCGTGGCCCCCGTGAGGGATGGTGCGCCAGGGCAGAGCTGCTGAGAGGGGAGACAGCGTTCGCGTGTATGGGTGGTTCTGATCAATTCTCCCAGGTCCTTCCAATGTATTCACAGCTCCCCAAGCTCACGGGCCCTGTGCACTGATAACGTCTCACGTGGATCTCAGAGAGGCTGTCACATTCCGTCCTGTGGGATGTGGTGTCTTCGACAAGGGTGTCAAAAGCTTTTTTTTTTTTAAATGGTGGAAGTTAATCTTTATTTACAGGACACTGTAAGATAATAAATTTCACAATTAGAAAAAGAAACCCATTGAGAGGAGACGTTTCATACACTATGTACAGTTTGGAACTGTTCAAGTATAGTTCCATTGTAAGTGCTACAATATCAAACCACATTTAGAAAGAGTTCTTAGTAGAGAAATGGTTAACACAAACTTATACCAAGAATAGTACACAACAGACAACACTTTATGCCTCAGCTGTACCATCTAGAAGTTCAAGGTCCCAGGAGTGCCATCCTGAACTTGGAACGTAGAGCCATCAGAGGTAGTTTCTGGCACAACATTCTGATCTTCCTCTTCCTCTGCAGAGAAATACTTCTCAATCAAGTTCAATGAAGCTTTGTATCCAGATTCACTTTCATGGTTTTGTAGAGCTTAATTTTGTCCAAACCTCCACGTTCTTCGATCATTATCCTAAGTTTCTCAGTTTCACCTAGTTTCTCAGCAGACTGGAAAATATCTGAAATGGCATCCAGAATAACCAGGATAATTTTGGTATCTTTCACAGTTAAGAGGTTATCCAATGGTTCTATTATGCCACAGTGAACAAGGGATACAATCTGCTCAACTGTTCCACCGCTTGTATAGTTGGTCACAGCCCATACAGCTTCCTTTTATATCTTCAAGTCTGCCTTAGACAGAACAACAACGAGGAATGGGACTAATCCATGATCCACAACTTGCTGTATCTGGTCCTGACGGCCAGCTGTGATGTTTGGCATTGTCCACGTACCTTCCTCCTGAATATTAGTCTTAGAGTTCATTACCAGGCTGGGAAAGACTGCAAGTGCTCCCGCATCTATTACCACCTGAGTCTGTTCATCGGTCCCAGTGACGATATTTCCTCTGGCTCTCAGCGCAGGAGTCACAATTGGCAATTCAGTAGCTCCCAGGAGCTTCACCAGTTGGGGCACAACTCCTGTTTTCACAAGCGTGTCAATCCGTTGATTTGGGCCACCAGTAAGATAGGAGATGGCCCGGCAGCTCTCCACTAATACTTCTGGGTCATCATGATGCAGGAGACGAACTAAAGTAGGAAGAATCTGCTCAACAGCATCTGATGGGGGTGCAGGATTCTTGTTGCGACAAAGGCTTGAAAGTGTCCAGGTAAGATACGTAAGTAACCGCATGCTAAAGATGACATATCAGAAACTGCGAGAAGAGCTAACAGAGGATCAACTGCACCGTCCTTGATGACCAAGTCTCGGAAAACCGAACCATCACCTGCAGTGTTTCCTAGAGCCCATACAGCTTGTTCCCTGATGTGAGCATGAGGAGATGCCAACAGAAATGAATGCTGGGATAGCACCTCCATCTACTACAGCCTTGGTCTGTTCCGATGTTCCGGAAGCAATGTCAGTGAGGGCCCAGGCAGATTCAAACTGAATGGGACTCCAATCAGTTCTGCCCAAGAAGGACACAAATTTTGGAATGAAACCAGCCCGGATTATGTTGTCTATGGGTGGTTGTTTTCCCCTAGAAAGCAGTTTCCTTGCAGCCTGGGTAGCTTGGAGTTGGCTTTCCAAACTGTTGCTATTTATGCCTTTGACAATGTCCTCAACAGACCCATTATAATGCCCTGGTTGTTGCGGTTTCCCTACAGTGGAGAAGTAGCATCATCAGGAAACGAGCTTACATTTCTCCTTTTCAGCATCTGTTCATCCTTCTTAGCTTTTCTCAGGTTCACATTAACTTCTATTCGGAGGCGTCTCATTTCCGTACTGTCTTTCCCCTTGTTCTTAAATCTGTCAAGGTGGGCAGCTGGTGAATTAGCCTTCTCGTTGGTGGACATGGTTACGAGGCAAAG